CGGCGCCGCCCCCGCGGGCCAGTTGCCCACGAGCACCCGTCGCCCGCACGCAGGGGCCGCCCGCACAGCCTAGTGGCAGCGCGACATTGTGTCCCGCGGGTGGGAGCCCCGGGGCGCGGGCTCCTGACTGACCGACCGGCGGTGCGGTCGTGTGCCCCGGCTCCCCTTGCAGCCGCGGCACGCGAGTACGCGAGTCACGCCCGGCTTCCCTTGCTCGCGGTTCAGGGGCGCGCTTGCCCCGCCCCGCCCCGCCCGGCGAGGAGGGGGTTCGGCTTCCTGTTGCCGCGCCGCCCAGCCGAGGAGCGGGGCTGTGCTGAAGCAGCGGGGCAGGCAGCGCCAGCACCATGGGCGGCCGGGCGCGTCTCTTCGCGGCGGCGGTGGTTGGGTTGATCATCCAGGGTAGGAGTCGAGCACAAATTACTAACCCTCAGCGATTGCTCCTTTCGCGCTGACGCCGCGGGGCCGGCGAGCTGTCGGAGTCCCAAGAGGAGACGGTCCCGACACGAGCGGGAGAGGCGGGAGCGCTGTCGGGGCCCCGGGGCACGTCTCCGTTCCCGTTCCCACAAAACGGCCGGTTCCGCCCCGGGGCGATGAGACGGGGTGCTCGGGACGAGGTGGGGGGCTCCATGCAGCGTGGCGGGGCTCTTCCGTCGCTGCCCTCTGGCCCTTCACCCCGGGGCTCGAGGGGCAGGCCGGCCCCGCGGCACGCACCTACAACACGACTGCTGTAGGAGCTACGCAGAGGTTTGACACGGAGCCGTCTGGCTCCGTCTTGTATCGCTGCTGCGTCAGGGGAGACAAAAGACGAGAGAGAGAAAGCGTGCTCTCCGCCCTTGTGAGCCCGTAGCAGTTTCCGTTGATGGGAGATGCACACCGGCGGCGGAGGGCACTGCATCTCCTCAGCCCCTTCCCCCGGCCCCAGTTGTGCTGCGCCCCGCTTCCCTGCCGGGAGGGTTCATCAGGCTTCAGATCCCGCGTAGGTGTCAGGATCTCTGGGCTGTGCCCTGCTCGGGTTTACGTAGCCCCCTAGTTGGCTGCACCCGGTGCAAATGGGGGTGCGTTTGGGCCGAGTTGTCCGTCCCTGCCTGCGGCTCCAGGCACGAGGCAGTCCCAAACTCGTGCACAGCACAGGCCGGCAGTGGATGCCTTATCCCTTTGCGCTGCTTCTAAAATATGTTTCTTCTTTTCCCCCCCAGGAGCCCTGGTTAAGGAGGCCAATGGTGAAGGAGGTAAAACCCCACTTCTTGCAAGTGGCTTTGAAGCCCTTTGTGGTTGGGGCTCGATGAAAGAGACAGTCTGCTCTCAGGGTCAGGACAGAGAAGGGTCTGTGTCCCAGATCACTGGACAGCAGTGATGCTTTGCTCCTGGTCTACATTAGGGGTTGCGAAGCTCAGGCAGGGGCGCAGACTGGTGCCTGGCTGTGCTGCAGGGCTGCGGGCCACACCACACCACAGCAGGAAGCCGGCCCAGGCCCATGGGGTCACTTCTCTGACCTTCAGAGTGCTGCTGCCCCCAGCAAGGGCCACAGCGAGTCTGGCAGCAGCTCGGGGCAGGAGGGGAAGGGCGGCACATTCCTCGCACCTGGGAGCATCTGAGGGGCCTGCACATCTGCGAGTCCTGACCACGGATGTGTCACTCCCAGTGCTTTGCAACAGGGAAACCTGCCTGGACAGCTGGCCAGACTAGTCTAGGGGCATGTACCAGTCTCTGGCCAGCCCCGGTAAAGAGGCAAAGGGAAACACCCAGCCCAAGTCTCACCCTCTGTGGGATGGGGGAGGGGGCAAGGGCGGCATTCAAGTTCCTGCCCATTGTTCTGAGGCATAACCACCCCTCGCTGTCCTCCAAACTCCTCTGTGCCTGCTGGCCATGCTAACACCTCTCACACGGAACAGACTGACTACCAAGGGTCCGATTCTGCTGTGAGCTCGCAGCACCCACGCGGAGCCTCGCTGCTTTCCGCCAGCGTGCACGCTCCGAGCGTGGACGTGTCGCTCCACGCAGCAGCCACCTTGGGGGAGACGTTCCTGAGAGCAGCAAGGTCTTTGAGCTGCCACTGGGGCTTTAGCTGAACATCGACTTCGCAGTTCCTGTTGACTCACCGTGTCGCTTACTGTTAATGCCTGTTTGTGGCTCAGCAGATCCCTTCTGCGCTCGATTAAAAATGGTGGCGAGTATGTGAAGTAGTGACACTGGTGCACAGAAAGTGGAGCACACAAAGCTCCTGCCACAGGCAACTCCATGTCTTTTCAGTTGTTAATTATTAGTCATTTGGCAGGAACGTATTGCTCAGTAATGTCAATCCTGAATGCAATACGTGATAATAGTAAATTAATTGCAACAAATTGCAAACAACGCATGGAAATGTTTGTCGGTAGGGTTTTGTGTTGACTCCACACCATGTGATCCCAATTAGATGTTATGTTTGCTTTTTCACCTCCCTCAAACACGGTGGTTTCCACATGGCCTGTACTGTCAGGGATGCTTTCTCAGTGAGAACAGCCATTATTCAGTGCCCCCTGGAAAGCCACCTCTGTCTCAAGGGACAACGTCTCCTTTCTCACGGGGGCAAAGAGCCCGGAGTTCTGGACCAGGGTGGGTGGCAGGTCACCCACGGGGCTTGCCACGTGCTTGTCACCTCCCAGCCATTGTCTTTGTTTCACAGCCAAGACCATAAGCGTGCACATGAGAAACACCCACTTGGTCCTGAGGTGCCCGGAGGAGCATGCATCATGGGAGAAAGATAGCAAGCAGATTGTTGAAAATGTGACGGAATATGACCTCGGCCCGACTGCGCACGACCCGAGAGGAGTCTACGCGTGTTCTACAGGCAGCAAAAAGCACACCATGAAAGTGCATGTCCGAAGTGCGTTCACCAGCCGGTCTGCCTCCTTGCGGGTCCTTTTCCTGAGATGCGAGCACGTGGTGCCTTTCCCAGGCACCACGTCTCCGGATCCCCAGCAGCTCTGGATAGCGGCGCAGCAGCTGCTTTGCACATTCCTCTGTCCCAAACCTGCCTTTCCTGCTGGGAACAAACCTGCCGTGGCTGTGGACGCACTGTCCAGGCCCCAGACCCACCTCTGTGTTCAAACAGATGTGGTGCTAGCAACCTCTGCATTTCAGGCTGGGTCTGGCGGCAGCCTTGTCCAGTGGCCCAAACAGGCCCCAAGCAGCAGGCGTGTGCATACATGCTCCCAGAGGCATGGGCTGCAGCTGAACCCGCAGCCTCTCCCAGACTGCTCCCAGCCTGATCCTGCTCTGCCCCGCAGGAGACCCTGTTCCCTGCCCTGTCCAGCTGCTTGCTCCCACTTGGGCTGCCTTTGAGCAGATGCACGGAGCTGGCGTGTGTCCAGCTCCTGGAGAGGGATGACCTTTAAGTGCCTGCCCTGTGCCTGGTCCACAGCACCAGTTCTGAGCTCCCTGTCATGCCACTGTCATGCTGGTGGTGAGGCATCTCACAGGGCAGCCCAGAGATCCTGCAGGGATGCAGTGAGGCCTCTGTGCTCACTGCATGGCTGGGGCCCTGGTTTCAGCGCTGCTGCGTCTCTACTTTGTAGTGTGCCAGAACTGCATCGAGCTGGATGTAGCCACCATCTCCGGCATTGTGATTGCCGACATCATCGCCACCGTCTTCCTGGCAATTGCCGTGTACTGCATCACTGGCCAGGAGAGGGGCCACCTGTCTCGAGGTGAGGGGGGAGTCTTGTGCTGCAGGGAGTATCTGGGCTGCTCAAGGCACCGGGCAGAAAACACCTGTTCTGGGGACCCCCAGGGGACTTTCCACCTTCCCCTGCAGTTTTGGGCTGGGGCCTGGAGACCGTGTGCAATGAGAGTGGCTGGCAAGCTGCAGCCACCAAGTCTCAGCCCACCATGCTGTACATGCATGCGGGGGTATGCGCCTGCATACCTGCTTGCTCTTTCCTGGCTGTGGCTGTTGTCTGCAAGAACATCTCTGCCTGCAGGCCTGCACTTGGCCAGAACCACAGGAGCCCTCTGCTGCCCTGCGGGCAGAGAAGGGCCCCAGGCCACCAGCCTGGCCCCCAGCTGCCCATCACGCCCCCTTGAAGGGAGCTCCAAGTGGGTGTGGGTTGCCGGTCTGGGTGGGGAGGGAGGTGTGGCAGTACAAGGGGCGGGGGTCCCCTCTGGGTTCGCTGCCTCCCCAGGACAGCCCGTGACCCGCACGTGATCTCTTCCAGCCTCAGACAGACAGAACCTGATCGCAAACGAACAGCTCTACCAGGTTAGTGGGGTGGGGGGCCGGGGTTGTTGGCTGGGGTGCCTGCTTCTGGCCAGCCCTGCCATTCACACGGCAAGTGGGACATGCAAGCAGGGATGGGGGGCAGAGGCCAGGCCTCGCTGGGCAACATGCCTGTTGGACTGGGCAGGGGTGCTGCGGCCCCGGGCCCTGGGGTGGGAGGCATCTGACTGAGTCACAGTCCTGCCCCTCCACCCGGGAAACGGTCCTCCTAGGCAGCACAGCAGCCTGGGCCTGCCCTTGCCCCTGCCCCTCAGCTGGGGCTGCCCCAGCTCTGCCCTGTCCCACCTTTTGAGTCAGAGGTGCCAGGGCAGTGTCTGTTGCTTGGACATGCCCTCTGCCGCCTAAGCCAGCTCTGCCCCATAACCCTGCCAGCCAGAGGGGCTGTAGCAGGCAGAGCCTCACAGCTCCATCTGCCTTAGGGAACTGGCCCAGGCTGTGATGTCTCAGGCCTGCCCCCAAAGCCAGGCCAGGGTGCACTGTGCAGGGGGCACAGGCCCAGATGCCTGTCCAGGGGCACTGTAGCTGCCCAGGAGCTGAGCCCTGACCTCTGTCTTTTCTCCCAGCCCCTGGGTGAGCGGGACGACGGCCACTACAGCCGCCTTGGCGTCACCAGGACCCGCAAGTGAGCAGTCGCGTACTGGGGCCGATTGATTCCTCCGCATAGGCCAGAGCCACAGCAGGGTCCCACTGCCCTCAGCCCAGCCCACAAAGCTTTCCTGTAGCCGGAGTCCACAGCCACAGGCTCCATGTCAGCCCGGCTCATAAAGAAGAGGTCTCTACCAGCAGGAGATGCTTGTAGCGCTGCCTGTCCTGTTGCAACCCAGTTCATCAATAAAGAAGCTTTGCTTTGGCTGCTGAGAACAGGTGGCTTCTGCGTGGGGTCCCAATCCATCACCAGGCAGCCTAGTGCCTGCGGGGACAGGGTCTCATGCTCTGCCTGGTGCCATGGGGCCAGCCGCAGGCCTCAGTGATTTAAAGGCAGCATGAGGTCGACTGGGGGTTCCCGCCTGGCTCAGGAGGCCAGCTGCGCTGCCACGTTGGTCGCAGTTGTTCTGCACGCTGCTCAGGGGTTGCATCCAGCCTTGCAGCTGCAGAGCAGGACACAGCAGGCCAGTCTCACTGCCAGCAGGTTCGGGTGGCAGGAGGGGGCAGTGGGCACCAGGAGCCAGGGCACCTGGATCTCAGCCCTGAGTGCTGAGTGGCCTTGGCAGGCAACCCTCTCCCCATGCCTCAGGTCCCTGCATGGAAAGGCCCTGGCCTGGCCAAGAGCCCCCGAACATTGCCACAGCGAGCCATCTGCAGCTGGCAGCCAGGGCCGGAGACCTATCTGGTGCAAGCTCGCTGCTCCCCGGCAGTCAGATAACAGTCGCTGTGATCACGGAGGCAACAGGAGCAGCATTTGGGGGGCTGAGAGCCCAGGCCAGGTGCAGAGCGATGCCCCACCCAGAGCCATCCTGGCCTTGCCTGCCCCTCCCTGGCCGTCCCTTGCCTGCAGCCCCAGAGCAGCTGCAAGGAGGCCCCTGGCTGCTGGGACCACTGGTTTAACTCTTTGGGTGCTGGTCCGCTGCAGCATTCACCCAGGCTGATGGGTGTTCAGAGGATTCTGCTGGGCTGCCCCAGGTCCACGGCAGGGAGATCGGGAGCTGCTGTGGGGCGTGGTAACAAGCAGCGGGGTCCCTGCTCCTGTGCTTCCTTGGCCCCCTAGCCCAGAGGAGCTGGGCTCGCTGCACGCACGCCCCTCAGGAAAGGCAAAGGGGTGCAAAACACCTTTCTCCCCTTCCCTGGGGCTGTGAGATGGGGACAAATGCTCTCTGGCCCTCAAGCAACCGGCAGGAGCCTTGTGCTGCAGCTCGTGGCCAAGGCCTAAATGTCAGAGCGGAGTTTCCGGCCTAGCTGGAGGAGGCAGCGCCCCAGCTTGCAAACACGCTGATGCAGTGGAACGTGGTTGCACCGACCCACAGGCTTTTCCCCTGTCCCACTTCTCGGCTCCGCTTGCTGGCCATGCAGAGGCAACTAGGAACTCCCCCACCCCCGGGTGCTGTCCTCTGTGAGCAGGAACGGAGCCGGGAGGGGAGGCAGATGCTGGCAGGAGCAGCAGGCAGTTAGCACCCGTGGGAAGCAGGTCCGTGCCTGGGCAGCTGCTGACACCTGCACTGCATGTTTTTTCTCTGTTTTTTCTAAGAATTTGAGTGACACATTTTGGGGCCTGCCAGCATGCTCGCCACGTAATTCACGGGATAATGTCCAGGGCTGCAGCAGCCACCTGTACATGCTTGCCTGGGACACTTGTCTCAAAGCTCTGACAAGCACCCTGGACGTACCCTGGAGCCCAGACATGTCCAGTGGTTCTCCCTAGGGTGGACGCCTGGGATCTGATGCTTTATAGTCACAGCCTTCTTTGTAGTGCCATTGCACACGTCATCCAGGACCATGTTTGCTATAGCCGATGCCACGAGCTATTTTCTGAGCATCAGCTGACCTTGTTGCTGTCTTGCCTTGAACTAGGATGCAATTGCTGCCTGATGAGGCATTTTCCTGCCCACACAGGCAGCGACACGGGGAACCCCAGCAGGCATCCAGTGGGGGCAGCGCGAAGGGTGCAAGCCCTGTTGTGAGCTGTGGGGCTGCTGGCCAGGCCACTCTGGCACACAGCCCTAAGAAGCCTGATTGGCTTTTGCGCAGTTTCCCCCAGAAACCAGGAGCTTTCAGTGAAGTTCTGTTCAGTCAAAAACCAGTTTTTCCATCCAAATAGTTTGGGCAGGAAGTTTCCTTTAAGCAGGGAGGAAACGTGCCTCTGTCCTGCAGCCACAACACCTAGACCACGCCTGCCCGGATGCGTCCTGTAGCAGAGAGGTAACTGGACACATAGGAGCTCACGCAGGAGACAGACAGAGCAGTCACAAATGAAGTGCAATTCCTGTGGCAAGACAAGGGGTTCTAGGACAGTGTTCAAGTGGAGTCTGGCGCTGGGGACTGAGCCCTTGCTTTCGGCAGCCACTGCTTATTCCAGAGAAGGAGCAAAACCTGCCCCAGCAGATTTACAAACCTGGGGCTCTGGCAGGGACGGCTACACTCCCCTGACTGCACAGTGCTGGATTTTTCCTCACTGCGCCTCCTGCCTTGGAAGGCCTTGGTAGCGCTGCTCAGAGCACAGCTGAGTTAGGGGCCGGGGCAGGCAGGAGGGGTAGCTGTTTTAGTCGCTAGGCGTACAGAGATCACACAGAGATAAGGAGCATAGGAGGTGCGACAGATGGGCCCAAAGCAGCTCATGCCTGTGGTCCACAGATGGCTGGGATCAGCTGGGAGCTGGACCTGACTTGGTCATGCCCAGAGTGGCGGGAGCTAATCAAACCATCGGCACCATCCATGGCAAAGGCGCACTGCTGGGGGAGGTGGCTGTGGAGCCGGCAGCCAAGCATCTGGCCCGGGGCTCTCTCTGAGCTGCATGCACCTTTCATCTCCCCTCCACACGCAGCGTTTGCACGGCTGATCCAGCTGTACTGCCTCCTAACCACATCCTCTGGGGCCCAGTGCACAGGTCCGCTCGCTGCTGCGCTGAGGCACCGCAGCTAAGCCACAGCGCACCCCCACGACTGCTGCTGCTTCCTCCCTGCGGAGCCCTTCCCCCTCTGAGCAACAGTCTGCTCAGCCCCGTGCTAGGCCAGACCTGGGAGAATTTGAGTGGCACATTTTGGGGCCTGCCAGCACACTCACTGTGTAATTCATGGGGTAATGTGCAGGGCTGCAGCCCGGGCTGACCACAGTGACCACAGCCTTGCTCCCCAGGCCACCCGCAGCCCGATGGCCCCAGTTCTGACCACCCACAGCTCTGCTATCCCATCCCACTCCCCTGCTCACTAGTGCCACCTCTGCCATCCCAGACTGGCCGCTGCACCCACACCCGCAGGGTTAGCAGCCTCTCGGCCCCACCAGTCCTGGCCCTTGTATGCGGTCAGGGCACCTTGGTGCTCCCCCATGGCTGGGGCAGCCCCAGCCCACAGACAGCTCAGTGTGTACAGCATGTGCATGGAGAATGCACTGACTACTGCAAGCCTAGATGAACTGGACACCAGCTGAGGCAGACCCAGCAAGAGAATCCTCCCTTTTTATTGGACAGCATAACACACATTTAAGTACCTACAGGACACTTGTTAGAAAAGGCTGTTGATCAGCACAAGCAAAGCTGCCCTCTAGGTAATGGAGAGGGGCACCTGGGCACAGCCTGACTGCTAGGGATGGACTGCCAGGGATGGATCGAGGGATGTGCGAGCAAGTGGGCACCTGCTCGCTGCCCATTGCTGGCACAGCCTCCTGGGACCGGTCGAGCCGGGTCCGAGGATCTGCGCTTTTCCTGCAGCTTCCTGACCTAGGGCAGGACACAGGGGGAACACTAGCACCCACAGAAAGGGCTTATTCTCCTGCCAGCCCTGCTTGTCACAGCCTTTGGAATTCATCTTAGGCCTTCTCCCGAGGGGAGGGCAGTGCGGGCAGTTCAGGCAGCAGTTGGGGACTCAGGAGTTTCTATCAGGGAAAAGGGGTTTGGGGTCTTTTTCTCATTTCGCTGGGACTGAAGGTCGTGGGAGCAGAATTCAACTCTCCCTGCCCACTGTTGAGCACAGCAGGCTATCCAAGAGCTACTCAATATAATACTAAAGGCTTAAGGTTTGGTCACCCATGTAAGCTCCCTGCTCTGGGCTGACAGGTGACATGCCAGGGAAAGCAAAGGCATGTGTCTTGCGGTGAGGGCTGCAGGGGCCTGGGAGAGCAGTTCCCTGCTGCAGGGATTCCAGCTGAGCCTTCTGCTCAGAGTGCCCAAGCCAACTATATCCAGCCCTTCCTGGACATGCTGGCGATCTCCCCCTCTTCTAGTGGAGACAGGTGTTACCCTCCCAGGCAGCAACAAGAAGAGAAAGTAATGCTGTGAAGCTGGAAGCAGTCTGGGAAGGTGAAGGCAGTGGAATGAAGGAGCACGGGGAAGGCAGCAGAGACCCTGGCTAAGTGCCCACCCCTCCCCTTTACCAGCATCACCCTACACTGATGCACAGCACCCCAGGCAGTGCCTGCCTCTCCTTGCAGTTGGGGAAGTGGAGGCACTAGGGGCAGTGAGCTGGCCACACTGACACGCGAATCAGCATAGCGCTTGGCCCTGACCGGCCCCAGCCCAGAGCTCAGGACGTGGACGCTCACATCCTGCATGAGGCAGGAAAGAGGCCACCTGGGAGCTAGGACGAGGAGACCTGCGGGGCCAGCAGAAAGTGGAGGCCGCAGTTGCAATAAATACAGTGAAGCGTGAGGGGGTTTCCCTGACACTTTGGAAAGGACAGGCTACAGGTCTCTGTGGGGGTCTCAGCAGGCAATGGCCACTGACACATAACAGGGAAAAGGCTTTCTGCTGTTTCCTTGCCTGGTTCTGCATGGGGAGGTCAGGGGGTGGCAGGAAGGATCGTGTTGGCTGGGGCATGGAAGCATCTCCTGGGGCGGCTGCCTGGCTCAGCGGGGAGCAGGAGCTCCTCTCTGATGGGACAGAAGCTTCAGGCCCCTCCGCCGCTGTGTCCCGCCTGCCGTCTGCTGGGTGACTCAGAAACCCCTGGACTCCAAGCCAGCATACACTTCCCGCTGTCCCTTCCTGATGGGCTGCAGAAACAGAACAGATGTTGGTTGATCATGAGCATTATGGAAGTGCCCAGAAGCCATGACCCCCCATGAGGACATACGGTTTGCACACAGGGGTGTGCAGCTCTGGGGCAGCGCATCGACCTCCCCTGACAGGGAAGATGCCTGGCCTTGCTGCCCGTAACCCCTTCCCTGCCCCAGGGCAAGCAGGGCACTTCAAAAGGGACAAATGCTGTTACCTCGTAGTCTGGGTTTGGAATGGGTGGGGGGCGCTGCACCTTCTGCCCTGAAACACAAAACACGTGGAACAGTAATGACCTACAGCCCTTTCCCAGAGCTTTAAAGGTTGACTTCACCCCGCAGCCCACAGGGGCTTCACCATCAGGACAACGGGGATGCAGGATAGCCAAGGACTCTGGGCGCCCACCTGAGCTTTGAGCTTGTCACTCAGAGAAGTCTCGCGGCTTTTAAGCCCATCTGATTTTTAGGTCTGAGTTGTGGTCTTTGAATGGCCATGCCTGGCAATACCCGTACTAGCTGAGCCAGCAGCAACATGGCCCCGTGGCTCGCAGGCCGAGCTAGTGCTGTGGCTGCCTTCCCCCCGCAGCCCAGACTCGCTGCTGCTGCACGACAGCCTGTGAAATGGTTTCCTGTGGCAGCGCTGGCGTCAACACAAAATGGCAGCTGCACTCTCCCCACACCAAAGGCAGAGGAGGAGCAGCCTGAGGCTGGCTAGAGCACAGCCTCCCCAGGGGCAGGGCCCAGCCGGGTGACATCCCCTTGTGACTGCCTTTGTGCTCAGTCTCCTCAGCCTGTCTACCCCGGTCTCCGAGGGACTGGATGCCACCAAAGCCGCCCTCACCTCGCGGCCGTCCTCCTGCGCCTGCCCCAGCCCCGGCTCTCCCCTTCCGGCTCTTGCCGCAGTAGTAGACCAGGATCAGCACCCCGAGGGTGATGAGGAGATCCGCAATGATGATGGAGGCCACGGGCAGGATGTCCAGCTCCTCGCAGTTCTCGCACACTGCAGGGGAAGGGATGGGTCAGGGGCACGGAGACTGGCAAGCTGCCCTTGGAGCCGAGGGAGAACGGCGGTGGGCAGGGAGGCAGGAAACAGCCACGAGTCTCAGCCCAGAGACAGGAGCCACGCGCTCCTGCCCACGCTGTGCAGACCTCGCTCGCCTGCTTCACATTAATGGAAATGGTGCCCTTCCTTCATGACGGGATGAGAGGGGAGGGCAGGCCAAGAAGCTGGGGGAAGGCAGAGACTGTTCTACCCTCCCCATGCCTCAGTGCGGACAGCACCAACGGGCCGAGGGAGCTGAGGGGGCCAGGACTGAACGGTCTCCTGATCTCTGCAGCGTCCTTGCACCAGGATGCAAGCCCTCCCTGACCCCTCTTCCG